AAATAAACGAATGAATAAATAACTAAATAAAAGTACTAGTCTGTTAAAACCGTTTTTCTACAAACGTAGGGTGCGTTCGCTAGCTTACACGTGTTGTGTAAGCCAACCCCGAGTGTTAATACCCACTCCGTCGAATTTCAACTGCGCAATGATTGGTTTCCGTCGCAATGAATGCGAAATAAGGGTGAATGCAGGAACGGGAACCAGTGTAACTGCATGACAATGAAATTAACACGTGGGTGACGCGCATTCATAAATTCGCGGGCATCGAGAAAGGAGCTTTTCTCTACGCCTCTTTGCTTCCAAAGTAAGTCTGCTGTTCAAAGTGGATGGAATTGAACTGGTTTGACCCACATAGGTAGAAGTGACATAGTCAACTGTTGTAAAGAGTAAACTAAAAAATTATGGTTCGAAACACCAACTTTTTAGCACGAACCGAGCACTTAAATTTCGACTGAGACTCGTTCAATTCTTGTTGGCAAGGTTCGATGGGGTTGAGAGTTCCAAGTAGGCCTACGGACATATCTAATTGTCCCTTGCACTTGCAGTAGTTTACTAGCCATTTAGAAAGTGATATCATGTCTTGAAGAGTCGCATTTAACAGTGAAAATAGTGAAGCGTTTACTGAAAAAAATTATTTGCCAGACCAGTCCATATCAAGCAAGATATGAGACGGAGAGAACCCCCCTGCTTTGTGTTAGTCATTGTTTCACCGGAATCTGAGGAATTCTTTTCAGACATGTAGGGGGATGTGTTGGGTAACAGTAGTCTAGAGTGTGTATAGCAATTGGACATGTTGGGGGAGGGGTACGCCTCGGTCTTATTTCTTCCTGGATATAGACCAGTCTTGTCGGGTTTGTGACAGGATGTCAAGGGATGGAGCTCTTGAAACTTCAAGTTTTCCTCCAAAGTCCTCCAGAAAATCATTAAATGGCTCCTCGACCCTTTATGTAAAACGAAACTTCCTAGGGAAGCAAATGTAATTTTAGGAAATATATGACCACAGATTTTAATTTGTGTTTGATTGCATGCATTTCTTTGACATGCCTGATGCCTGACCTGAAAAAAAATCATATTTTGTGGCCCATAAAATTGAAGTATACATATCTTGGAAATGTATGCATGAAACCAGATATTAATTTTGTCGGGCTCACTGTCATCAGTTGTGCTAGTACAAATACAAAAGCACAGTCCGGTCCAAAGATCAGATATGCACTTTCCAGCTTTTCTTCCTCAGGAAATCTAGGTTTACACAAGAGGTTGAGAAGCCAGTTTTGGGAAGACTTTGGAAGAAAATTTGAAATTTAAACTTTTTTTGCATTCAGTTGGATATTGTAGAGTCGAAAAAGTAAGGATTGCGCAAAATTTTGCCGAGTGTCTCAAGGCCTGGAAAGCTACAAAGCTATGAAATTTAAGATAAAAAGGGGATGAAGTGTAAAATCCTGTCCCACAGTCTTTTAATTAGAGCTGCCCAGGCTTGGCTAATATGATAAAACAGTTAATCTTTTGATATTTTACAGAGGACCCCTGTACACCTTGATTTGAATCAGCGGGAAGGGCAGGAACAAACACTCACTCATACAGCTCACAGGAAGAAGGTAGCAGTGAAGATTCCTGCATACAGAACTGGAAATGAAACAATGGACCTAGAGTGAAAAAAGATAAACATGTATCAATGGACTTGCCTTTCCTTCAAGTTATCCAGGGTTAGCCTGCTGTGTAGAACAAATTGAAGCTATTAAAAGGATGTGCTTTTTCTGAAATACAAGCTAATTGTGCATTCCTTGAACTAGTCACTGTGAACCAATCTAGCATTACCATATACCAAGCTAGTAAACACTAAACAGTATTTCCAGATCATTTCCTTGATGCCATTTAAACAATTAATACAAACATCAACTAACCCCGTTGCAACCATCAATAATAAATAACAACCCTCTTAACCACAACTAAAGTCAAGAATTTTCCGCTTTGTGGAAAATCTGTGAAAATTGCGGATTCGGAGTAGAAAACGGAAAACGCCATTCTCAGTAAAAAAATAAGTAAAAATAAATCTTTTGGATTGTTTCTGCACAATTAATCAAATAAATATGAACCGAAATTGGGAATGACAACTCATTTTCACTGTTTAACTCACTTTCAAAGTAACATTTGGTAGCATTTCCCCTCCTATTTTTCCTTAGCAATATCGCAGAAATCGGTATTGATTTCTTCCGGCTCCGCGCTGCAGAGATCACACAGGTCCCCGTTCCTTACATAGTGCCCAGACGTCTCACGGCTTATGAATATATCAATAGGGACAGGGACCAGTCCAAGATCACAGTGGCATGGTGGGTGTAGGCCCTACATGTATCATTATGCCAAAGATACCTCTAGATGTACGGTAGATGTAGGCCTTCAGTACATATGGTACAGTCACATACAATTTTTGTACACAAAATTTAGAAAGCGGAAGAAAGCAGAATTTGACTTTCAAAAAGCAGAAAATTCTTGACTTTAACCACTACTAACCATGTGACGTACAAATCTCAACTAACCCTCCATTGGGTTCTTTTCAGAACCATACATACTCACAAAAGACATGTACCTGCATGGTGCTACCATGAACCTTTACTTTATATAACCCCCAACCATTAACAAATAACCCTTAGCCATAAACCATAACCCATTACTTGACCAATTACCAATCTCCTGATTAAACCGAGGAGCAGTGATCTGTCAAAATGCTGAAAGACTGTAAAAATTGCTTTCTGCTTAAGTACTTCATTGCGCATGATGTGCTCTTTTGTGTTAAAAAAACCAACATGGCATTTCTTGAACTCATTTGAAATTAAAAATTTGCAGTAAGTTACTAAAAATCTCTGAAAATGCTCCCAAATTGGCAATTTCCATGGTAAAAGTTTTATTCAAGTGCAACTTTGGCTGCCAATGAAAACCGTGCAGGTTCCCTGGATAACTGATGGCATTATCTTCCACAATGAGGGAAATGAACATTAACCTCTGCAGCTGTGGACTTTTTCATCTTGATTTTGACTTTGAGAATGTAAAAAGAGGAGCTTATGGACATGATACAAGCTGCAGTGTGTTGATAAGGAGCCTACAAGTAGATCTCTCAGAGAAAATGAAAGGACAGTTGTGAAGAGTAGACCTCAAGGATTCTGAGGGAGGTATGGGAACGACATCTGTAATTAGTCCTGCAGAAGATATTCTCATTCAACCTTGAGGAATATCCATACAGGTGAGTATTACTAGTCTACAAAATAGTATTCATTATATAAAGCACTTCACCTACACTTTCTGTGTTTTGAGTGGCCTAGAGCTAGTTACATAAGGCATTTACCATTGCTGTCTTGTGTTACACAACCCCAAAGAACCATATACCTCAGTGACAGAAATGCTTATACCACATTTTGCTCACTCTTCCGAGCTACATTTCCTGAAGAGGATAAGTGCTGGTAAATTTGCAACTAATTTCTCTTTTAAATAAACACATTTTAACCCCAACCCCTAGGGTGTATGTAAAATTGTATTGAAATTGGAGGATTTGGGATTTTCAGGGTTAATAAATGAAAATAATCAGTCATAGCTTAAACCAATCAAAATCTGTGGTGGAGGTAATGTAAAGCAAATGTTGACTGCTTCATGTGGAGCAGTATCCTAAGGTGATTAAGTGTCATTTCCCAAACTGTAGTGGTCAGTATTATATTAACAAAATAAAATGTTAAAAAACCAAAGACATGGTTTTATTAGTGTAATGATAGGCCATCTATTAAGGAGGTCCGCTTAAATTATTAGTTTAAGGACGCCAAGATAAAGGAAAACGGGCAGGAAGAGTCCAAATGTAACTGTCTCAATTATACAGAGTTTTATTTACATGTCAACTTTGGGGTTTAAATATCTAGGTTTGATCACAGTTAATTACAATTTCAAATCCTTTATTCCCAAAATTCCTATAATTCCCAAAAATCCCTAAAATTACCCTGAATGCCAGGCCGGTGTGCGACCGTGGACTTGGCCTTCCAGACAGCACCTAATAATGAGCAGTGTGTGGAGTAAAGAGCGAAACCCTAGTGTAAATCTTACGAGTCGCTACACAAACAGCCTAAGTGCAATGTGTAGTGAACAATATCACATGTACACTTCACGTGAAACTTTTACAATCAAGATGGTGAATTTTCACTCCAAAATCACTCATTCCGCATTCTGCTATGACCCCAATAATCATCAAGTCGGGTCATATACTATGGAATCATAGATTGTGAAGGTGAAAAGACTGCAAATCAGCTATTACAATGCAAAAAGCTAGTTTTCATGGCAACAGGTTAATCCTAAGATGCTCACTCTGTGGTGCCCACACTGGAAAGGATTATAATTATTACTCGCACGCCCACCGCACTTCCTTCGCGGGAATTTGTTATACATTTCTAACAGGCTGGGCGGCGTGCCCAATAAACTACGGTGCCCCCTAAAACACGCTTCCCTACATTAGACTTTTTGCAACCTAATTTCTATTCATGCAGTGTGTGTGCAGCAACTGCCTTTAAGTCCAATTTCTGATGCTAAATATTTTACCCCCAAAGATGTTACGAGAACTTGACAAAAATGGACAGAAAAAGAGTTCTACAATTCTGTACCTAGATATCTCGCTGTATTTTTCCTTGTTAACATTGACGTGTGCTTTAAGCACTCACAATGTGCCCTATGCTTGCTTGGATCAAACATTGTCCTTGTACTGTTGAGATGGTGTTTAACAAATACTTTCCTTGATTTCTGAAGTGGGCAAATTTCTTCATAAAGTAAAAATTTCTTTTCTATAGAAACCACACTACTGTGACGGGAGAGCTGAAACACTGGAGATGAAGAAAAGGAAAGTTTGGTGCAAAGTAAGTTATCCCCCCAAAACCTTGTTTACCAAATACATTTTAGAGATTTTCCAAGTGGGTTAGTTTTCTTTCTCATTTGTCTCTGATAAAGTAAAAGGATTTCTTTCATTTTCATAGGAACCACAGTCTACTATGATGATTGGGCTGAAACATTGGAGATGAAGAAATGAAAGCTTGGAAACAAGGTAAGTTATCACCCAACTTAATTCAACCGTCAAACTGTTTGTCTATTTTTACTCTTCAAATTTCTCATTGTTTGATTAATTTTGCTTGATTTTGTTTCAGCATCTACTCAGAAGGGGTGACCATCCATGTATAGGCCGGGGGACAAGATTGCATGTTCATTAAGGTGAGGTAACCATTTTTTGCAGCTGTGAACATGCACAAGACCCCCAGATCACAGGATTCATCTGATTTAGCTGAGGGAATTGTTGATGAAACTCATACCACTGGAGAGGCATCATCCCAGATAGAGGCCAGGGAATTCACGACTTGCATATTCATAAGGTGAGGTAACCACCAAAAAGCCTGTTTTACAAGTACGTCCTTGATTTCCTAAATGGGTACGTTTCTTTTTAATAAATGTCTGATAAAGTAAAAGGAATTCTTTTCGTATCAACAGGAACCACACTATACTATGATGAGTGAGCTGAAACAGTGGAGATGAAAAATATGAAAGTTTGGCACAAGGTAAGTTATCTCCCCAAAACCCTGCTTTTCCAAAACAGTTCAACCATCACACCCAAGGGTGTCCTTTGATCATTAAATTTCTCATTGATTAATTAATTTCGCTTGATTTTGTTTCAGCATCTGCTCAGAAGGGGTGACCATCCATGTAGAGGCCGGGGGACAAGATTGCATGTTCATTAAGGTGAGGTAACCATTTTTTGCAGCTGTGAACATGCACAAGACCCCCAGATCGCAGGATTCATCAGATTTAACCGAGGGGATCATTGATGAAGCTTGTACCACAGGAGAGGCATCATCCCAAGTAGAGGCCAGGGAATTCACGACTTGCATATTCATAAGGTGAGGTAACCACCAAAAAGCCTGTTTTACAAGTACGCCCTTGATTTCCTAAGGCGTCATCCCCAAATTGACTAAGCATTCCATGACGCGAACATTTCACGGAATTACGGAGAGTATCCTAATCCCTGCCACACAAAAAAGCCGTTAGCAACCCGATGGCTCCGCAGACTGAACGCAAGCTTTATGCAAATTACCAACCTCATGAATACGCCAGATCTTCCGCGTATCGGCTGGCAAACTTTGGCAGTGCAAATCCCTTGGGATTAGCACGTGGCTGAGTTTTCACTGACCAACCGGTCGACTTCCAGTTCGAACAAAATCAGCTGCCAATTTAAAAACCATAAAGTTTTTTGTTCTGAAGTCGGCCGGCCGTCCTGGTGGGAATTCCGAAATGGATACTTATGTTTAGGTACTGTGCAGGATTTGCATGTACTGCAGTTTGTCAAAATTGACCGATTTGGGGGTTTGTGACTTAATTACTTTATGTATTATTCAAGGGACTGTTTCTACTTTTGAGTACACTGCTCCGAGAAAAAATGAGAAAAACGCTGTTCAATTTTAACACTCGGAGCGCAGCTCATTTAAATTTGTCTTGCAAAATACCATGGACCTCAGGACGTTCCTGCCTGCCAGGGACAGTTCAATCTGGCCCTTAAGAAAGATATTCTTTCCCTTTGCATTTCATGGTAATTGGGGTTGGCAAATTTACCTTCAGCTGTGTGTTTCATCTTCAAAAATGCAATGCTGAGAATTGTCAACAAACGATTCATCCCACAGTGAGTTGAATGCTGCAGTACCACAGTGACTTCGCGACCACACGTGTACCGTACATGTAATGTACATGTACGCGCGCACAATTGACCACATTCACGTACTTGTACAGTTCGCTTTTCACACGTAGGCCTTCGTACATCGGTCAAAAACCATTCACGTTCACATCATCACACCCAGCGTTAACACTGTATAAATTAACAAATGTGGTAACCACGTGCATCCTTGCGTTTTGCGAGTCATGCGAGTTACTGTGATTTGAAAATTAAAAAGCTAAATGTATCGATATTGGAGTGGAGATTCTGTTTGAGAAAAACTGGTCCCGGAGCTCCTCTGGAGAGGTCATGATTGATTTGGACTATACCACTATCTTGAGGGGTGAAACCGAAATGATATAATATACGTGAGGTAAACTTCCAAAGTTTCATAAATAAAGTTTAATTTCAGATCAGTCCAAATTCTCTTTCAGGTCATTATTTATAGTTCTTTATCTATTTTGTTAGCTACTAATGATTTCAGGTGAACCGATGGTGTGTTGGCATTTTGCACACGACCCATTAATATAGACTCTTGCAAAAGCTTTTGTTAACGGTTGCAATAGTTGAAATTTTCCAGGAAAAAAATTTCTTGAAAATAACAATTTTTGGTGGTAAGATTTCACAGATTGTCTGACACTATTGTGTACTTACTTTACAGTAAGATATTTCAAGATAATTCGACAGTCTCGTCTTTTAGATCTTACAAGTCCCATAGGCTTACACACCCCAGCGCAGGGCAGAAAGCTGTCTGACAATCATAAAATAAGTCACAGCAGAAAAGCGTGCTGCCATCAGAACAATTACTAGGTTTGTTCTGAGTTTAAAGTTTTATGAGCATGAGATATGCCTACAAACACCCAGTCACATGGAGGAACAAAGAAAAGGAACCAGTGGCTAAACCACCTTTTAAAAGCGACAGCAAGTGCTGCAGCCAAACCACCAGATGGAGCCCAAAATCATAGAACATGGCACTTTTGAACCAAACCAAACTGAACCACACATGCACTGGTCGGTTTGGATGTTCAGCTTTGATATGGTATGGTATTGATAGCAAATGGAATGTACTCGCAAAAAAGCAACACAACAAAAAATGGAAACCGAGTTTCAGTACAATATATTCCGCATCCGCGCTCGGCAAATGTGCGAGTACACATGGTGGGTAGAGCGGGTATGTACAGTAAATTTCCAATGGCCCTGGATCATGTATGATGGTGTAAAACTCACGTGGTGAGAATTCACTAATAACCCACCAAGAACACGCAAGGTACAGCATTTCACCTGCAGAACATTACTAAATTCTCACTGCATCCAATTGTGGACGTGCAAATTCAGACCGATATTATGTATGCCAATCTCCAATATTCATGCCTTTACGTTCCATATTAGGACAATGATGCCATAAATGAATGTGCCAAACAAATTTCGATTGGATGCTGATCGCAGTTGGACACGTGTTCAATCAAAGGCAACTCCAGAGAAAAAAAACGACTTTGCCGGCAAAGTATAGCAGCACTTAAGCGCACGATGAAAGTTGGTGCACACAGGCCAAATAATCTTTCCTTTAGTCGTAGTAATCGTATTATTTATATGTAGTGATAGAAGTTTGCCAGAGCTACATATATAAGTTGTTGGCAGATTTCAAATAAAATGCCATTATCCATTCGAAAAAACAGACTGATGGAATATTCAAAATTGCAACTTGGTCGCTGTCCTGGAAAAGAATGCTGAATTAATACCAGGGTCTTTCAAATATATCGACTGCCACAGTTTGGTAGTTTCATCTATTTTGTAAAAAAAATAACCAGAACACAACTCGCTCGAAATCCAGTTAGATTTTGTATCCTGTAAAGTCAGAAATTCCTGTTTGAGCATACTGTTTTTGCTGTTTTCACATATCCTACGATTGCTCTGCTGAGTCAAGCCTGGTATAAACATAACCATTTTGGTCCGCAAACTCGCTCTGAAAATGTCACACTGCCTTCAAAGATAATATTCCATGGAATTGTAATGCCTAATAAACTTTAGAAAAACGTGTAAAACTGTTGAAATCGAAGTTGCTCATGGAAATGGGATGAAAAAGGAGATTCACTTCTTGTATTAATGTTTCATTTATACACGGAAGTACTACGTCACGTTCCTAGCGAGGCTCCCAATATGTCTCAATATGCATTGACCTTTGCACATGCACGTGTATAACACATGTACATGTACGTATGCACATGCATGTACATGTCCCAACACAAACTGAAGTTCGGCAAAAATTCGACCGTAACGACCCCATCGTCTTTAACCACTTCCTGCCGGGCGACCCATTTTCAAGTTCATAGGCTTTATATGCAGAGCCGGTGATCCCGGAACTGGGACAAAAGAATTGGGCTTTATAACAAAAGACCATGCTCAGCACAAAAGACTGAGCTGCTGGGCATTACCAACATTTTTCGCTCTCAATAGTGGAGATAATCCAGCCTTGTTTTGAAACAGTATACCATGGTTTGAGGCATTTAGAGTGAGCGGATTACAGAAAATCTTGAAAAGGACCCGGCACCTTGTCTTGCTCAAGAAAAATCCGCCCGGCAGCAAGTGGTTAATAAATGTTGATACTGGAAATGGGGAAATATCTTTTCGGCAGAATGGCTGTTGGTATTCATGAGGTCCAGAGATATCATGCTTATTCATGTTTTTTTTTTTTTTTTTGTCGTGGTGACAAAAGGGCACTCAGCTGCCTGGCTCATTAAACCCCTCACGCTTCACCGCACACCTCCGTCGTGTCTGCGGATTTCCTCCAATGTACTAGAGCCAGACCAATCGGAAAAAAACACGGACAATACGCGGAAGAACGCTTAATCAATTTGGGGATGACGCCTAAATGGGTAGGTTTTTTCTAATGAATGTCTGATGAAGGAAAAGGAATTCTTTTCATATCTACAGGAACCACACTCTACTGTGACGAGTGAGCTGAAACATTGGAGATGAAGAAAATGAAAGTTCCATACCAGGTAAGTTATCACCAAAAACCTT